ACCTAACCTAACCTAATTTAACCTAACCTAATTTAACCTAACCTAACCTAATTTAACCTAACTTAACCTAACCTAATGTAACCTAACCTAATTTAACCTAACCTAACCTAATTTAACCTAACCTAACCTAATTTAACCTAACCTAACCTAATTTAAATATTTTAATGCATATATATTTTTAATATGTATATTTTAATGCAAGGAAAAACCAGGGAGGCACTTGCCTCCCCGCGAGTCACCCGATGAAAGACCAGGTGCCTCGGCGGGGGCAGACCGCCAAGCGCGGGAGGCGGACTGCCTAGTGCAGGGGGCAGGGTGGCACGTTGTACGGGGGCACGTTATCCAGCGTGCCCCCTATAGATGGATGGAGGAGTGTTTGTTTTGGGAAAATGCGGGCGACATCTAGGTGATGAGGAATAAGTCTGGGAAATGTGGTTTTTACTTTTATGAGAATGACTCCTCATGTGTCAAGCCGTACCATATCTTGGAAATATTGTACTGTAGTACTCTTCCTTTCTTGATGTCTGTGCCTGATGTTTGTCATGTTCCAACTGCACAAATGCAGTCTTCTGAACTTTTTTATGTGAAGTTCTGAGCACTTTTAAACTGCAGTTTTCTGAAACTGTTTTCTCATTTACTTCTTCAAGCGATTGAGCAACCAGTGACAGTCTCACATGATCACACGAAAATTACCCGAATTATCTAATGGTCCTGTCAAGTACTTGTGCTGTGTGCCAATTCATCATCTACAGATAACTATTCTACAGCAACGGAGAATTGTCGGATTTCTGGGGAATTCGTTTTAAAAACGCTATTTATGCTGTACACTATTGTGTAAATTGAAGTCTATGGAATAATTTGCAGATGTGCCAGATGACTGGAGTCCGGGAATTTGTAGGTATTACGGTACAGCAGAGCTTCGCCAAAGCGACCACCGGCCCGTTATTTGCATACTCGATGTTCAAGCTCAGGTCGTAGATGAGGAAGCGAGGTCAGAAGTGCTGGCTGATGTGATTAGGACACTGGGACCTCCTGACGGAACGATCGTCATTACTGTGAGTTCCTTTTCTTTTTTTGTTTTGTTCAAAGCGAAATCTCGTCACTGCAAACTAGGGGTTGGGATCAGGGAAAAATCGATTTGATGGAATGCTCTTTCTATCCAGTTAATTTTCTTGCATTTTCTACATCTCTGTGACCTTCTACATTGATGGGAAATATTTCCAACTTATTATTAATCCTCTATTGAAGTTCGTAATGGGAAAATAGCCGAACCGAATGAATCAAACGTTGATATATAAAGATGAGTTACACAGCAGTTTGATCAAAGAATGGTTTTCTTTTCTGTTTCAGCCGGAAAGTTTAACTGACGGTGGGAACGTCGAGGCCATTTTTGATGACAAGTTTATCGACACGCTGTTGGAAGAATTCTCCAGCATATCTGAAGTCATTTTAATCAGATTCGTGGAGAACACGATGTGGGTGACGTTCAAAGAAGGTTCAGCTGCGTTGTCAGCATTGAAGCTCAACGGACTCGAAGTGAGTGTCCCCCTGTTTTTTAATTTTATTTGTTTGACAAGGTGCATTTTTCAAGCAGGAAAGTCTGGGTAAACATTTTCTCGCTGAGCGTTCTTGCCACTTAAATTAGTGAGAGCTCAGATTCGGCGTCGGCTATGTACTGTACACGCCCAGAATGATTTTCGCCAACTTGATANACCTAACCTAATTTAACCTAACCTAACCTAATTTAACCTAACCTAACCTAATTTAACCTAACCTAACCTAACCTAATTTAACCTAACCTAACCTAATTTAAATATTTTAATGCATATATATTTTTAATATGTATATTTTAATGCAAGGAAAAACCAGGGAGGCATTCGCCTCCCCGCGAGTCACCCGAGGAAAGACCAGGTGCCTCGGCGGGGGCAGACCGCCAAGCGCGGGAGGCGGACTGCCTAGCGCAGGGGGCGGGGGGTTGATTTCTGTGCGGGTGAGTTCTGGTGCGTGCCCCTATAGGGGGCATGCTGAATAACGTGCCCCTGTACAACGTGCCGCCCTGCCCCCTGCGCTAGGCAGGGTGCAAAAAATATTAAATAAGCTTTAAATATTTTTGGCGGTCTGCCCCCGCCAAGGCACCTAGTCTTTCCTTGGGTGACAGACCCCCACCAGCAAGAAGCTAGAGGGAACTGCCGTTGACAACTTGGATAGCAACAAACGGAATAACAAACAAATAAGTTGCACCCTGACTATATACTTCCACCCTAAAAAAAAAGAAATAAATGGGATAGCAACAACAACTTGCACAGTGCAACAATTTCTCATGCACTTTTTTGCATATACAGTAATTTTTTCAACTTATTTTTTACAGATTGTTTCTTGTCTGGAGGGAGTTTGATAATGCAGCATACGCTAATTCCATATAGAGCAATGACTATATACAGTACAATGCATGTTCTGCTGTCAAGTAGTTACTACTCGTATGATGTGATGCCAGTATATTTTATATCATCTGAATAACAGCATTCAGAGGAGGTGCTGAGAGCCCTCGGAATTTTAAAATTGTTTAAAGGATAAGGATTTTGCAATAAGTGAAGCTGATCTTAACACGCACGGCCACTTTCAAGTGAATATTGAAACAGAAGGGCTCCGCTCCTGACTCTCTGTCCTTCCAATAATGAATGCATTCCTTATTAGGAGGACAGGGTTGGAACCCTTAACTATATAGGATGCTCAAATAAATAATGCATTCTGAAATAAAATATTTTTAGTCAATATAATATTACAAAAAAATTACCACTTGTCCCTTCATTTTACCTCATGCTCAGTTGATGTCTGTCTATTTCCTACACCCCACCCATCCTTGAATTTCGTAAGGAACTGCACACTCCACCCAGGAGAATTTACAGGAGCCGCCATGTGCGAGACCAATACATGCCTCGTATTAGTCTGTCGGGGTCTGTCACCCAAGGAAAGACTAGGTGGCTTGGCGGGGGCAGACCGCCAAGCGCAGGGGGCTGGGGGTTGATTTCTGTGCGGGTGAGTTCTGGTGTGTGCCCCCCTATAGATGGATGGAGGAGTGTTTGTTTCGGGAAAATGCGGGCGACATCTAGGTGATGAGGAATAAGTCTGGGAAATGTGGTTTTTACTTTTATGAGAATGACTCCTCATGCGTCAAGCCGTACCATATCTTGGAAATATTGTACTGTAGTACCCTTCCTTTCTTGATGTCTGTGCCTGATGTTAGTCATGTTCCAACTGCACAAATGCAGTCTTCTGAACTTTTTTATGTGAAGTTCTGAGCACTTTTAAACTGTAGTTTTCTGAAACTGTTTTCTCATTTACTTCTTGAAGCGATTGAGCAACCAGTGACAGTCTCACATGATCACACGAAAATTACCCGAATTATCCAATGGTCCTGTCATGTACTTGTGCTGCGTGCCAATTCATCATCTACAGATAACTATTCTACAGCAATGGATAATTGTCGGATTTCTGGGGAATTCGTTTTAAAAACGCTATTTATGCTGTACACTATTGTGTAAATTGAAGTCTATGGAATAATTTGCAGATGTGCCAGATGACTGGAGTCCGGGAATTTGTAGGTATTACGGTACAGCAGAGCTTCGCCAAAGCGACCACCGGCCCGTTATTTGCATACTCGATGTTCAAGCTCAGGTCGTAGATGAGGAAGCGAGGTCAGAAGTGCTGGCTGATGTGATTAGGACACTGGGACCTCCTGACGGAACGATCGTCATTACTGTGAGTTCCTTTTCTTTTTTTGTTTTGTTCAAAGCGAAATCTCGTCACTGCAAACTAGGGGTTGGGATCAGGGAAAAATCGATTTGATGGAATGCTCTTTCTATCCAGTTAATTTTCTTGCATTTTCTACATCTCTGTGACCTTCTACATTGATGGGAAATATTTCCAACTTATTATTAATCCTCTATTGAAGTTCGTAATGGGAAAATAGCCGAACCGAATGAATCAAACGTTGATATATAAAGATGAGTTACACAGCAGTTTGATCAAAGAATGGTTTTCTTTTCTGTTTCAGCCGGAAAGTTTAACTGACGGTGGGAACGTCGAGGCCATTTTTGATGACAAGTTTATCGACACGCTGTTGGAAGAATTCTCCAGCATATCTGAAGTCATTTTAATCAGATTCGTGGAGAACACGATGTGGGTGACGTTCAAAGAAGGTTCAGCTGCGTTGTCAGCATTGAAGCTCAACGGACTCGAAGTGAGTGTCCCCCTGTTTTTTAATTTTATTTGTTTGACAAGGTGCATTTTTCAAGCAGGAAAGTCTGGGTAAACATTTTCTCGCTGAGCGTTCTTGCCACTTAAATTAGTGAGAGCTCAGATTCGGCGTCGGCTATGTACTGTACACGCCCAGAATGATTTTCGCCAACTTGATAAGTGTTGGATCCCTTTCTCAAAATAGCTTTTTCTTCGAAACTGTAAACTAATTTTTCATTTTGCATCTTTCGAAAGTTTTTGGCTATTTTCATCCGTCGACATTATTTGGGAATTTATTGAAAAAGACGGTTTGCCTCTCTGGTTGACCCTATGTCGGGAATTTTGGAAATGAAAATCACGAGAGTGAGATTGAATTTTGTGAGTTGTTGTTGAAGAATTTTAATGACACTTACAGAATAAAATTTAATCGAGAACTGGCTGAAGATTTTTTTTGTGCTATTTTCTTCAATAGATGGGACTTATGTACCAGAAGCACATATTTCTCTGTTTTTGCTAGGACTTACAAAGATTTCTGTCTCTACTGTTGTGGAAAATTTGTTTTTCATAAGGTGAATGGCCACGTGCTGGACGTGAGACTCCGTTCGCCGGATTGGGAGGACTATGTTCGCAAAGAATTGGAGCTCTTTTCTGAAAACACGGTTCCTTTTTGGGACTCGGACCTCGCATCTGATGCCGTCGTGGAGGACCAGATTTCCTGTACGCCCTCTCTCGCGGAAATGCAAGGTGAAATTGGAATCACCCTAAACTTCCTTTTATTTTTATATGTATCCTCATTGTTCGTTATTATTATTATTATGTTTCAGAGTATTACACGTCGATTGATGAAGGTGACGCCGTCGGGGATACGAGATCTGCGCCTCCGCGTCGTCCAGCTCCTCCGTCTCGTCCGCCTCGTCCTGCTTCCGCTACTCTCAAACTCGTTCCGAAGGTTGGTTTAAGTTTTCTTATCAATTGGGCTTTTAGGGATTCGCTGAAAGTTGGTGGCAAAGCTTGAGTCTGTCAAAAGGAATCTGTGACGTACAATTTAAAGGAAGTGAAGTCGCACAATTCTCCAGAAATTGATCTACAATTTGCGTTTGCTGATGTTGAGTGAATGATGTACCCAGGTGGAATTTTCGAGGTGAAAAATTTCCTTTCGTTCGCATGGATTCAGAGCGGGAAATGTGGAAACTTCCCGGAGTTTCAATCAGAGACTTTCTTGGATTTTTTTTTGGTCCAAGCAAATTTTGTTTGTATTCTGCAGTGAAACATGTATGTCTGAGAATCCCAAGCATTTTTCGTCTATTCAGGCCTGGTTATGTTTTCTTAAACACTACAGTAAGGCATATCCAAATTTTGGCTGACGTTTGGCTGTACAGTGAATTCCCGGATAGAGAACATTTTTAGGGGAAAGGACGTGACTCACATTGCAAAATTATTTCACAGGACGTAATTTTTTGGCCCATAAAATTCGAAAAGTTTTATAAGTTTTGAACTGAAACTCGAGAAATTTTCAACAAGAAAAAATAAGTGCCAATCTTTACATCTTCTGGTCTTGAAAAATATTAAAGTTCGAAAAATTCATTAGGTTATGAGCAGGAGTTATCACGATTACTTCAATTTCGTGCAATATACTGTAATATTAAATTCACAATTTTCCTGCTAAAAATACACGAATTGTATGCTGTATTATGCTGTTTTTGTTGGTGGCTGGAACTACAGGGATTAAATTAAATATGATGTAACCTTGAGGGAAAATGCTTCAAATTAAAAAAAAATTGGTAGTTTATTATCAAACTCGTCTACAAACGAATCAGATTTGTTCTGGGGAACCTGCTGTATTGAATTATTCTTGAGTTGATTTTGTTCGGTCAAGATTGTGGGCGACATCTGCCTTATCACGAGTCAAATTATTCTGAACTATTTGTTTCCGCTCTGATTAAGGTGGCAGTGATAAGTAGGCCTGCTCGACCTCCTGCAGCTGGGTCAAGCTCGTCATCATCTCCAGTTCCGGTGCCGCATGCTGCCGTCAGAGAACCGGTTCATATCGACAGCGACGAGTCCAAACCGGAAACACCGCAGGAAATTCTCTCTGATAGTTCCCCGGAATTTGAAACGGCTTCTCCAGTGCCAGATCCTCTGGAAGCCGATTGGTCGCCGGAAGTCCCGGCTCGGCCAGTGCAACCGGAAGTGCAGGTTCCGGATCCTCTGGAAACTGATTGGTCCCCGGAAGTCCCTGCTAGGCCGCTGAATTCCATTCAAATCGAACAACGTCCTGCGCCGGAAGTTCCGGTTCGTCGACAGGAATCGGTGAAGATTGATCGGCCTGCTCCGGAAATTCCGGTTCGGCGACAGGAATCGCTCAAGAACGATCGACCACCGCCACCGGAAGTCCCGATGCGGAAGCAAGAGTCTTCCAAGTTGGAAGGGCCTGTTGTTGCTGCTGCTGCAGCTGCTCCGCCACCTCCGCCCCCGAGGGCGGCGCAGAAGGCGCCGGCAGTGCCTCCTAGGGGATCTGCTCCGGCACCACCTCCTAGACGAGCTGTTTGAAAAGAAAAAGGGGGGTTTCCGGTTCCCGCGAACGCTTTACGACGGGGGAGAAATTTTGTTTGGAAACCGCATTCAGGTGATGATTTCAGGCTTTTTTTCGGAGATAATTGATGGATCCATCCTGAATAATTTATGGATCTAGCCCGGAAACGAGAATATTAGTGACAAAAATCGGCGGGTGACAAAAACCTTGTAAGTAATCTTAGGCCAAGTATTGGGTGTCCAAAAAGGTGCGCTGGTGTGAGAATGTTGTTCCGTGGTTAGAGTCGCTGTTATCGAAACCATTCGTTCAATTGTGATTCAGGCTTTAAAAAAAAAAGAAATGCATTTTTTCGAGGTCTCAAAATTAATTTTACTGCTTATTTCGATGGTTTTCTTTGAGTACCGTAATGCATGCTGGAATTAAAAAGTAGCGGGGAACGCTGACTTCTTCGTCGCGTAGTGACTTTTTTGGACACCCTGTACGTTTAACTAATGGGCCACGGATGCAGCAGTAAGTAAGTTCACTTCACGAGCTTCCATGCAATCGGCGAATTCGTTTCACTGTGTTCCCTTCCTGCGTTTCATGTCATTCAGCAACACAGCGGTTTTTGCGTATTTTCAACTTACAGCATCTTTTTCGTTTGTTTTTGTTTGGTTTTTGAAAGAGGTGAACGCACTTGCAATTAATTGAATCAGTCGGGTGAACTGAAAATTTTTTTGTTGCTTTCTACCATTTTTTCGTTTTTTTGAATTTAAAAGCGGACAGCGCTTGGTGCTCGGTGAATTTGGTCGAAAAATGAGGCTTTATGCTTGCTCTGGGATTTTTTGATTGTACGTTCGAGTGTATTTGTTGAATCAGGTAGCATGACAGCAATATTCCATGGTTCTGGAAGAAAAGAATCCGTGAGACATTGGCAGCAGTGTCGTGAAGTTTCAGTTTTGTGAAACTCGTTGAAATATTAGTTCAGCAACATGGGCTGTAAAAGCGGATCTCATTTTGAATTGAAGATAAGAAAAACAATTGGCTTGTTGGCCCTTTTTTTTTTTTTAGGTACTGTACTGAGTCTTGGGCGCGAATTTCGAAATAATGTGGAGTCGAATCACAGGGTTTCATGTTTTGTTTTGTTTAGATTGTCGGTGGGGAAGCATTTGAAATTGTGAACAAAGTTTCCGTGTGGGCATTCCAATGAAAGCGTATGATCATCTGGTTGGTTTTTTTTTTTACATTTCTGTGATTTCATTACTCTTGTGATGCATGTCCTGCTGTATTTGGTTCCTTCTAGACTCTGTCAATTTCTTTTTGTTTTCCGGAATGCTCGAATTCGATCCTAAAAGTGAGTTCTCGAGACCCCGTCGGGGATTTTGCGAGGGAAATTGAATGATTGACTTTGAATCGCAGGTCATCAACATCAGAGGTTCAATCCCCTGAAAGGTGAGTGGGTTTTGGTCTCGCCGCATAGAGTGAATCGACCATGGATGGGACAACAAGAAACCTGTCCAGAATCTGGACACAAAAAGGTTGAACAGACTTTGCAGAATCCCCTGTGTCCTGGGGCCGTTCGGCCAAATGGTCAAGTGAATCCGAATTATACTTCCACCTTCACTTTTCAAAATGATTTTCCTGCTTTGATTGATCAAGAGGTGAGCCGAAAAATTTTTCATTTTTTTTTTGCACGCAGAAACATTTTTTTCTTTTCATTTTGTTATTTTAGTTTTTCTTTGAACAAAACGGCGAAGATGATGATCTCTTCAGACGAGAGCCTGTTACTGGAAGTTGCCGAGTTATGTGCTTTCATCCCGATCCAAACATGACCCTTCCACTCATGAGTGTTTCAGAGATCTCTCAGGTGATCAGACAATGGAAAGAAGAGCTGGTTGATCTTGGAGAAAAGTTCAATTGGGTCCAAATATTTGAAAACAAGGGGGACATTATGGGGTGCTCTAATCCGCATCCTCATTGTCAAATCTGGGCGTCGTCCTTTTTGCCAACTGAACCCAGGACCAAGGATGAGCAGATGAAGAAGTACTTTGAGAAGCATCAGGAACCGATGCTTGTTCGTTATGTTGAGAAAGAATTGCAAAAGAAGGTGTGGCTTTTTTTTCCTCTATGGTGATTGTTGCAATAATTGCCAGGCGTTTTTTTGAGGCCAAGGGCCAAATTGTAGAGTCCTTGTGGGCCAAAATAGACAATAATTTTCAAGGTATCAAATTTTTCGATTTTCAATAAAAAGTTCGGAATTTATTTCAGTGCTAAACATTGAATCACGATTATAGCTCTGTAGAATTTTTTCCAAGGGTTGAGCAACATTTTGAATTTTAAAATTTCATCTTTCAAAATAACATATTTTGAATATTGGTGACCGCCACCTTGACAATTATGTGGGAGGGACCGCAGGATAGCTGAAGAATTCTCTGTGGGCCTGATCTAGCCTGCGGGCCATATATTGGGCAGCATTGATTTCGAGAATTCCATAAATTTGTGCGGAAGGATTGTTGGTTGAGTATTCTGAGCTTTTTATTGGTCTTTTGTTTCAAGGAAAGAATCGTTTTGGAAAACGACGATTGGGTCGTCTTGGTTCCCTATTGGGCCTTTTGGCCCTACGAAACAATTGTGTTGCCAAAGAAGCCGGAAAGGAACAGTTGCATAAAAAGGTTGACTGATTTAAAAGAAGATGAAGAAACTTCGTTGGCTGATGCGATGAAGCGTTTGACTGCGAAATATGACAATTTATTCAAGTGCTCGTTTCCTTATTCAATGGGCTTCCACGGTAAGTTCTTTTTTTCACAGAAGAGTGCAATGAGCATTATTGAAAATAAATTTCAAGCATTCAAAGTTGCCATTCACGCCGTGTTTTTGATCTTTGTGATTATTTCAATTGTATGTTATTCGTGTCAAATTTTGAAGAGATATTTTAAAGGGTGAGCCAATGAAAATAATCGACGGATTTTTAAACTGTTCTATTCTTTTTTGAATAGTTGCAGTTCTTGAAAAATTCTGCAGTTTTCAAAGAATCTCATAAAATCGTTCTTTTCTATAAAAAAGTGAATAAATTGTGTTGCCTCAAAAATGAAGGAATTCTTGTAAAAAATTTTCGAATTTTGTACTGCTTCATCCGATTTCAGGCTTTGTGGTGCATCTTCTTAAAATTCAATAGAAAGTCATTCATTCCAGTTACGGTATGAACATTGACCTGGTTGACTTTTTTATTGTTTCCTTTTTCTGCTCCATTCCTCTTCAGAATCTCTTATTTTGAGGTTTGACTCGATTTGCTGTGTATTTAATAAAAGGTGCCCCGACTGGATCAAGACTAAATTCTGACAATGATCACTGGACCCTTCACGCCGTCTATTATCCTCCTTTGCTTCGTTCAGCGACTGTCAAAAAATTTGTGGCTGGGCAAGTTTGATTAATTTTTTTTCTTTTAGAAAATCTCATTCTGAAGTACGATTTTATTTCTCGTTTTCAGTTACGAGTTATTGGCTCAACTTCAAATTGACGTTTCACCGGAACGGAGTGCTTCGATTTTGAGATCTTTGCCAGAGATTCATTACAGGAATCAGTGATAATTTGTGGGTTGATGTGGTAATTTTATCTCAGCAATATTTTTGTACATATTATTGGACACGGAGAAGGCTGTTATGGAATGAAAACGCGAGCAATAAAACTGCTTTGTAAACTGCTGTTTTGTTTTCGTGAACGCGATTAAAATCGTGGGACTGTTGAAAAATTATCATTATTTGTTTCCAGGGATAACCCAAAAAAATTGTTTTGTGGCTTCAAGACCTGATTTACTTTTCCTGCTTGTTTTGAATCATGGGTATCGAGAGGGACATGGGACCTGGGGCAAAGGTTTTGCTCTTGTCAAATTCCACGATGCATGGCGAGAATTATTTGGCATACGCCGAACCTCACATCAAGGACTTCTTCAAGAAGTGAGTGACGATTTATACGGAATATTGCACTGCAGTGTTGAGAATGATGCGGATTCTTTTCTCCTTCTGCCAGAAAGTTTTGCTTATTGATGAATTATTTTAACAGTCGACCATGTGTTGAACATACCTGCGTATTTTCAATTTTTGAGCACTATGTTTTAAAAATGAGTGAATATCCATTGTGGTCAGGGAAAAAATTGCCAAAGGTTTAAATGCTTTGAAATTATTTCTCGAGCAGATAACGTTCAATTCACGCCTCTTATTGCTTCTATTCTTATTTTTTGAAAGTCTTAACATTTCATTCAAAACTGTGGAGGTCGAAATTAATTTGTAATTTCGAGTGAGAAATATTTCCTATGCCTGAGTTATATGGCAGTTGGTCCCGAGAAATTGTTTTAAGGCTTATTTGTGAAGATGTCCGGAACGCTAATAATGTATTGGCTGCTAATTTGATTGATTATGTATTTAATTTTTCTGTGCAGATGCAATGTGGATCGCGTGTTGTTTATCCCGTATGCGCTGAATGACATGGATGGATATGCCGAGGTTGCGAAGAAGGCTTTTCTACGAATGGGTTTGTCCAACGAGAAACATTTTTCTTTTTGAAAAAATATGATATGGATTGAGACGTACGGTATATTTCATTTGAAGGCATTGAACTGGACAGCATTCACACGTTTTCGGATCCGCATTGGGCTGCCGAAAAGGCCACAGGCTTCTTTGTTGGCGGTGGGAACACGTTTTTGCTCCTCAAAAGGCTTTACGAGGCGGACATCATGGATATAATTCGTCGTCGAGTCCTTCAGGTCAGATAGAGTTACATCGAGTATATCGGGTGAACATTTTTTTGAGATTTTATTTGTTTGAATAATTTACTGCAAATTTAATTTTTTCCTGTTCGTTCCAGAACGGAATTCCGTATGTGGGAAGCAGTGCAGGGACGAATGTGGCGACAGTGAGCATTAATACTACGAATGACATGCCGATTGTTCAGCCACCGAGTTTCCAAGCCATTGGATTGGTACATTTCAACATTAATCCGCACTACGTCGACCCTGATTTGTCGTCCAAGCACATGGGGGTAAGGGCGAGTTGATGAGATTCACTGGTCAACGAAATCCGTCTAACGAAAATTTTCAAGGGAAAAAACTTGATCCACTTTACGAAATTATTTCAATTTGTTGGCCCCAAAATTCGAAAATTTTGACAAGCTTTAAATNCGAGTTGATGAGATTCACTGGTCAACGAAATCCGTCTAACGAAAATTTTCAAGGGAAAAAACTTGATCCACTTTACGAAATTATTTCAATTTGTTGGCCCCAAAATTCGAAAATTTTGACAAGCTTTAAATGAGATTTTTGAAAAATGAAGGAGAAAGCAATGTTGTTTTAAATGTTCCTTTATTTACAGTGTGAGAAATTTAGAAAGTTATGAGTGAGAAATTTCAGTTCCATGCTAAACAATATGAAATTCAGAATTTTCTGCTGAAAAATGCAGTAATTTCATGGTTTATTGCGGTGTTTTGGTGAGTGGCTGGGACCAATTGAATCGACTACTGTATAATTTTGTCTTCAGGGAGAATGAGTTTTCCATAAAGAAAATTTGGCGTGACGAAACTCATCCATTTGTTTCGTAATGCGGCGACCCACTGTGTATAGATTCTCACGATTTTGATTCTCTTAGTTGTTCATTATTTGTTGGTCAAATCGTGTCATATTCTATATTTGTACGCTTGTTTAATTGTGTTTTTCTAAGGTTATGTCAGATTTGATTCGTTGTTTCGTATTTCGGCGGGTCTGTCAATTTAGAAGAATGGGTTGTCACCATTTGAAGTCAAGGGGCTCGGATTTGGCTTGATGGTTGCGGTTCTTCAGCAAGTGGCCTAAAATGTTTCAGTTTTAAAATCTACTTTTACTGAAAATTAGATTACAGTACTGTACTGTAATGAATCGGTAAGGCGTTTTTGAAGGTTTGATTCAGGCGACACCTGCCCAACATCCCAGGAAGCATGGTTTTGCGGCTTTTGGCTAGGATCCGACAATTAGACTTCGTTTTTAATGTAGTAATATAAAAAACGTCCTCTGCGCTCTCTTTGCCTAATCCGTTATAGTGCTTCAGGTCCTATGAGGTGGTCACAACCCGTACGCTCTCCCGTCGTAAAACTCTTAGCTTCCGTTGTTTTAGCTCGACAACCGTGTTAATGGAGCCAGGCTTTTTATTCGGCGAGTAATTTTTTTTTTGGGGAATCTATGTTGGATTCATTGGAGATTTTAGTTTCTTAATTCTTGACGAAATTTTATATTAAAGTAGCTTAAAATGTCCCTACTTGGGGGCGTCCTTAAGCGGGGTCCAAGCCTGAACTCAGTTTAAAACGGCAGTCTTCGTCGCAAACGGCTCTCGTTGTTCACTTAATAGGACAGCACAAAACATTATTCAAAACTTGATTACTCGAGGAATGTGTTCAAATCTATGTATAATGATTTTTTCGGGGATACCGTGATTTTTATTTTGTTCTGTTGCTTGTAAGACGCAGAAAAAATACGCATTGGGCTTTCCGTAGTTGCTATTCTGATGGGGAGAATAGTCGAGGTCGATGTGATGCGCATTCCGAATTCCGTGCGTGAATTTTATGGGAGAAAACGTTTTTTTCAGAGCTGTGAACCGTTCCCGCGTTGAGAAATTCGGCTATTGGTTTCGAATTCTATCTATGCAGCGATTTATCGTCGCGTTTTTGCAATTCTTGAAAGGTTGAAATTACTTCTTCGACGCTAGAAGAAATTATTTCTTCTTCTGCTATGCAAATATAAGGACTGTATTGGTGCGTAATTTTTTTTTCGAACGATGGATGTTAGTGTGTGTGAAATATCGGGATTTTTAGGTTTTTCTCAAGAATTTCCTCAATGTTTCTTTTTACGTCGGCATCCACAGCGAGAAAAAAACAGCATCGCTCTACTTAAACACCAGTATAAGCAACAAGTGCCGCCGCTGCTGCAGCAAGCACATGTAGTACCCCATAAAAGCCAAGTCAGGGCGCACCTAAGAGCGAGCTCTCGGCACTTCGTATGTTTTCGAAAGAAATCGTGAAAAGAGAAACTTTAAACTGAAGTTCAACCAGATGTTGGCGACGACGGACGAAAAGGAGATCATTTCTAAAGTTTGGAAGGTCAGCTTTTTTGAAATCAATTTTTTCGCGTTGAAATCAGTATGAGGAAATGTTTTATTTAAATCGCAGGAACTTCCAGCATGGGTGTTTTTTGCGGACATGGAACGAGCTGAATGGTTGAACAGAGTCATCAGAAGGTTGTGGCCGTTCATTGGACATTTTGTCAAGAAATTGCTTGAGAAGCAAATTGAACCGCAGGTTGCGGAAACCCTCAAGTTCTACAAAATCAATAGTTTTCGGTTTGTCAAAACGAATCTCGGCAACGTGGTGAGTGTGTTTTTTTGTGTGTGTGTTGGTTTCCACCATTTGAAACGTTGAATATCTTGATTTAAATCAATTCATTTTAAAAAAACGCTTTCGGAGGCTCTTAGCCACCTCACTTTTGGATGCCTGTTTTCTGCCTGGCCTTCCTTCAACACTAACTGTACCTCTAGTACACTCAACTCTCTTACATGAAATAAGAACTACAAAATGAGCAGTGCAATTCCTGAATAAAGGAGGGAAATTCAACATTTCATCGACTTCGGGCCAAAATTTGTGAAAATTATCTTTTTGTACTAAATCATGCATTATCACCCGAGTTGAAGTGAACCCCACTGGAAGATTCCTTATCGAATATTCCTGAGTGACTTTGAAGAAGTAGTTGATGAACTTTGAAGAAGTAATGAACCAATTTCTGCAGTACTGTAAAACTGTGTAATGTACTGTATTTGCTTGAGGATCGCACACCTTTGAAAAAGACACCCACCTGAAGTTTTCAGATTAAAATTTGAATAAAATTGTTTCCCTGAGTAGGACACAAGCCCAATTTTTTTTAGACTGGAAGTTGAACTTTTATTTTTGAAAATGAAACGCATCAAAATTTAAAATTCGACTTGAATTTTGATCAAGTTAAATTATGTCGTATTTTCTTTTCTTCCAATTTCTGTTGGAATTGGTTCAAATTTCCCTGATGGATCAAGTGTTACTTGCACCAATAAAGCCTTGACAATTTTTAAAATGTACCCACGTTTGGCACGCACCCTTTTTTCCCGCTTAAAAAAAAAAAAAAATTTAGCGTCGTACCCAATAAATAACATGCATATGAAAGTGGAGTAATACATGTAATTGTCTCGTATCAGATGGGTTTAGATGATCTCCAACTCAGAGATTCGCATGATGAAAGAATAAGCTTAAAATAATCTTCATAGGAATTTCTCCTCCTATTGCAGTACGTGTAATGTATAATTGTTTGATGCAGGTATGCTGGAGACTGTGAGTTCGAAGCAGTTGCGAGTGGGATGGCATTTGGGATAACAGATGTTCAGCTGAAAGGAATGATGAGGGTTGTGCTTCAGCCGCTTTTGCGAGACATGCCGATTGTTGGGGGAGTTCAGGCATTTTTCCTGCAACCCCCTTCCCTGGACTTCAACATGACGAACATTGCAAATGTTTTGGAAATGCCAGGAATCAAGTCAGTCGACTTATTATTATAGATCATTTTTTATGTTTTATTATTTTTTTAAAACTCTCCTTCCTTTCTGTAAAAACCAGGGACTACATAAGGGAAACCGTCTTGCAACAGATCAACGCCATGATCGTTGTGCCCAACAAATACGTCTTCAGTTTGTCTGACCAGGTTCCTTTGGCATCTCTGCGTATTCCGGACCCTCATGTGAGAGAATAATAGAGTAATTCGTTTTAAACTTTAGCAATAATTAATCATTATAATAATAATGATGATGATGTTTTAATTATAAGCTTATTACAGTATTATAATAAGCGTATAATTATAATGGTGATAATAATCTTATAATTGTAATAATGATAATAATCTTATAATTATGATAATGATAATAAGCTTATAATCATAATGATATATAATAATAATAATAATAATAATAATACGTGTACAGTAATAATATTAAAATTATGATAACATTATGATTATAATGATACATTCATATTTCTAATACACATTTTATAATAAGTTTACAATAATAATAAATTTTAATGTAGTAATTTTAATTTTATAAATTAGTAATTATGCTAATTTTGTAATTTATCATTATGATAATTTTGTAAGAATGATACTAATTTTATAGTAATGATGATAATTCCCTACTTGTGATAATGATAATAATTTTACTATTATAATAATTTTATGCGTATAATAATGATAACAATTTGATAATTATAATAAGAATTATATATACTGTTTGTGTATGACAAGTGTAAGTATAATATTGTTGTTGAGCTTGTTTTGTTTTGTTTTTTTCTCTGGATCAGGGAGCTTTAAGGGTTCTGATCCTCGAAGCGAAAGAGTTGGAAAGGAAGGATATTGGTTTGCTGAAAAAGGGGAAGAGCGATCCGTACGCCAAAATTTCCATTGGGGGTTTCTCGGAGAAGACGCATATTTTGGAGGACACGTTGGCCCCCGTGTGGAATTACTGCTGCGAGGTGGGTTTCGAGCATATATCGTCGTCGCATGAGAATTTGATTTTGACAAAAATATTGTTCATTCCTCTCCTTTTCTCTGGAGGTCTAGGTTGAAATGAAATGGTGGGTGGGGGATGTACAGTATGATTTGAATAATTACTAGTCATTCCTTTTCACGTAAACACCTTACGTTCATTTTTCTACTTTCTCAAGGTGCGTTTATTGAAAGTATTTCCGGAGAAATGTTGCAATGGCTAGTTTTTCAAGAAATCTCAGTCAATCGCGAAAATAAACGATAGAAATGACGAAAGAAATTGGAATCATTTTTCATGTACAGCTTCTCTTTCTGAAATGAACCTAGAAAAAAATAATGGCAATTTTGTTCATCATTTAATGGAAAAATTGCATTTGTTTTCATCATGAAATTCATGAGAATCCAGCAAGAATGTACGAGTTTCGTTTGTTGGATGTGACTGGAATAATTACGCAGATCAAGGTGATTGTTGAATGAAAATTTTTTCATCTCGTTGTACTTCGAATATCATAGACTCCATTGCTCGATCAAGTCAAAATAATTTCATTAACCAACAATTTGATGATCATCTCACCGCTGAAAAAAAATCAAACTAGAAAGAAAAATACTGTATTAACCTTGACGCGTGGGATTAAGCGATGATATGATTAAGCCCAGAACCAGTAAGATTAACACGAAAGAAAGCTTTTCAATTTGAAGGTGTTTTA